ATGCTATATCTTTTGATGGCCGGGCACCATCAGCTTTCTTTACCACATTTGCTTGTGCACCCATCTTCAGCACATTTTTAATGCAGTTTTTATGATAAAATTAGGTGCCTTGGTGGATATTCTGGTTGGCTTATACTCGAGTATATAAGGTTAAACCAAGTTTCCTTGCCATCAGGTTGATGCTGACTCACAGTGACCCTATAGGTCAAGGTAGAACTGCCCCTATGAGTTTCTGAGACTGTAACTCTTTAAAGGCACTTAAACTCTGTCTTACTCCTGTGGAGCAGCTGGTAGTTTTGAAGAGCTGCCTTTGCAGTTAGCAGCCCAACGTGTAACCACTAGGCCACCGGGGCTCTGCTTTAGCTATGAAAGGACATATTTTGTCCTAGACTGTCAGTTGTCTTTTTGGTGGTAGTTTTTTTCCATGCAGAGTTTTTTTTAATAGTCAAAAATACTTGTCCTTTTTAATTGCCTCTTGATTTTTAGTGGTAAAGCATTTCTCTACACCTAGTTAGAGAGAATTTAAACCAGGTTTTCTTATAGTTCTTGTATGGCTTCAATTTTTACATTAAGATTTTTGATCCCAAGTAGAAAGCAAATGTTTTTAGAATGATGATGGCAACAAATATACAAATGTGCTTGACACGATGGATGGATTTATGGATGTCCGGTGATAAGAGTTATATGAGCCCCCAATAAAATGATTTTTTTAAAAGATTCTTGAGGCTCTTGAAATTTAGTCTTATGTGTGGTGTGAACTATGGATCTAATTTTGTGCTTTTCCCCCCTAAGTATTCTCTAGTCAGTAGACTGAGTATCAGTTTATTAAAAGTCTATATTTCCCCATTATTTGAGATGCCACTGGTATCATAAAGTTTCATGTATGCTTTGTTTATTACATCTTTCTCTTCTGTTCTATTGGTTACTCTCTCTAGATATATACCAATATTATACTATTTTAATTGGTAAGACCTTGTGCTATGTCTTAATGTTTGGTAGGGTTAGTCTCCCACTTGACTTTTCAATTTTAATGCCTTATAATTACTTTAAAGGTGTGGAAATCCTATTAGTTACTAAAGATTCTAGTATTAGTGTTACTATGTCTGTATTTCCATTCATTAGTTTCTTCCTTAAAATTAAAGATAAAAGCTGTTACGTTTTTAAAGATGGCTAGATTTATAACTAGTAATAATATAATAAATAGAAAATATCTAATCAAAGCGCTCATTTCCCCCTCATGTTAATTTTGTATGTGTGTGCCAGGGGAAGAGGTGGTAATTATTGACTCTCATGAGGTCTTCTTCTCTATGGATATAATTTGTGGGTTTTACTTATTAGATTGACTGTGATTTGAAACGTTAAACATCATACAATGCTGGCTTGTTCTTTCTCTAGACTGAGAGGTCATTGGGGCAGAGCTGTTTGTACTTAGATTTCTCTGGAGTCCTGCCTAAATATTTGTATAGTTAGAAGGTGACAGTAGATATTTTGAAGAGTGCCATGTGATATGAGATGACAATAATAAACAGACAAGTTTTTTCCTCGACAGGCGTTAAGTAATGTTGAAAGAGCTAGTTTCCATATTGACTTTTAGCAATGTAATATCACTTGAATATAATACAATATTTCTCATGTAGAATCATTGTCATTATCGGGGCTATGTGGAAGGAGTTTACAATTCGTCTGTTGCTCTTAGCAACTGTTTTGGACTCAGGTAAGGGAATTTTTCACATGATTTTTTTCTTTTCCTCTATACCACCTCACTAATACTTTCTCTTATTCCTGTCACTAATCAAGTGACTTTTGAGACTTTAACAAAATTAAGTATTCCTGTGAGCTTGCTAAGGATCATTATAGCTATCTTGTCTGATCTGTATAGCTCAGGATCTTTATAGCTTCTTAACTTTGTGTGCTATACAGCCTTTTAGTCATCAGTTAGCATGTATAACAATGGAAAATATCATGGTTGATGAATTTTAATACTTTATCTTTTTGAGACCATGAAATAAATTCACTATTTGAAATATACATTAGATTTTCTGTGATACTTGGTGAACGGATGTGATTTCACTGATGTCTCTTAATGACTGTGAAAAAGAGCTCATTAAATCCACTGAGATTCAGGAGGACAAACTAAGGTACAAAGAAATTTTAGCGCACAGCAAATAAAGCGATAGTATTGTTAAAGTTATATTTATCAAGTGCCTGGTAGTCAGGCACTCTGCTTGTTGATTGCATAATTGAGTGAAATAATAAGTATTATTTAGCTAGTTCTCAAACCAGCTCTGTAAAGTGGCGGGGATTATTCCTGTTTAAATAGATGAATGTACTATGTAATGACAGTGTGACAGATGGCATTCTAAGTGGTTTCTCCTTATTAAATAATAACTTAGCTACCACGTGCCTGTCAGTTGGTCATATTGTGGCATCTTGCATGTTGCTATGATGCTGGAAGCTCTGCCGCCAGCATTTCAAATACCAGCAGGGTCATCATTGGTGGACAGGTTTTATCAAGCTTCCAGACTAAAATAGACTATGAGGACAAACCTGTTGGTCCACTTCTGAAAGTAAGTTTTTGTAACTAAGTCAGTAGCTATAGAGCATTTTCTGGTATAGTTTAGGAAGATGAGCCCCTCCGGTTGTCAGATTCCTAAAAGAGGACTCAAAGACCACAACAATGATGATGTAGCACAGGGAAACGTTTTAGTCCATTATATATAATGTACCATGAGTTGGAGTCAACTCAGTTGCAATTATCTATCACAACGCAAATAATTTCGTTTTCAGAACAAGCCTGTGCAGAGTGTAAATTAATGCATAGATTAAATAACTTGCTGAAAGCTAGTAGGAAAGGTATTTGAGATTCAAACTCTGGTCCTTTGACTCCAGACCCCATACTTTTATCCACTACTCTGTACTGCCTTCCATTTCACATCACTCAGTGGTGTTAAATAACTTTTGGGCAGTAATTTTGATTAGTCATAGTCTTGAGTTTAAATTTAAGTTTTTCTGACTCTAAAATCTTTATTTATTTATTATTTGCTACTCTTATACATGTTAAAAAGTAGGACTTGAATTTGGAGTTTCTGATTCTTTTTCTTCTGTGTTTGTGTGTGTGTGTTTCCCTTAAACATTGTTTGTATGATAACAACATTTAGAGGATTGCTGCATTTAGATGCTACGAGTTATGGGATTGAACCCCTGCAAAACAGTTCTTCTTTTGAGCATATCTTCTATCGGATGGATGATGTCCGCAAAGAGCCTCTAAAATGTGGGGTTTCAAACAAAGAAGTAGAGAAAGAAATCACAAAGGAGGAAGAGGAAGAGTATCCGAGCATGACTCAGCTACTTCGAGTAAGGAAATAGTATAATTCTTTGTGGTTTAGATTACTGTTTTATAAAAATACATGCACATCAGAACAACAACAAAATCTTACCATAGCGAATGATGGGGGGAGTGCGGAGTGGAGACCCAAAGCCCATGAGTAGGCCACTGGAGATCCCCTTGCAGAGGGGTCTCGGGGAGGAGACGAGCCAGTCAGCGGGCAATGTAGCAACGATGAAAAATACAACTTTCCTCTAGTTCCTAAATGTTTCCTCCCCGCTCCCACTATCATGACACGAATTCTACCTTGCAAGTCTGGCTAGACCAGAGGATGTACACGGATACAGGGAATCCAGGGCGGATGAGCCCTACAGGACCAGTGGTGTGAGTGGCGATACTGGGAGGGTAGAGGGAGAGTGGGTAGGAAAGAGGGAACCGATGACAAGAAACTATATGTGACCTCCTCCCAGGGGGACGGACAACTGACAAGTGGGTGAAGGGAGACGTTGGACAGGGCAAGATATGACAAAATAACAATTTATAAATTATCAAGGGCTCATGAGGGAGGGTGGAGCAGGGAGGGAGGGGAAAAATGAGGACCTAATGCCGGGGGCTTAAGTGGAGAGGAAATATTTTGAGAATGATGAGGGCAAGGAATGTACAAATGCACTTTACACAATTGATGTACGTATGGATTGTGATAAGAGTTATATGAGCCCCTAATAAAATGACTAAACAAAATACATGCAATTATCTATTAAGCCAACACTCGTTTGATCGTTTATTTATTGGCAACGTTGTGCCAATCTTTGTGATAGGTATGAAAGGACATAAAGATGAGCTATACACAATTTCTGCCCTAGGAGGATTAGACTCATGAGGGTGTGTAGTATGTGTGGGTTTGGCTAACCAGGACTTAAATCCCACAGCACAATGCATATTTCTTTTAGTTTTGCTATATAACTGGACATTACATAGTTAGAAAGTGGAGAACATTGGGATTTTTAATTTAAATAGCTCATACAAATTGGAATGGTGATACAGTACTTGAGTTTTAGATGGAGAGACAGAGAGATTTGGTTATATTTGATTAGATGGCTTTCATTACTTTAGATAGCTTCCAAAACATCTCTTAACACTCCCTGACCTACTTGTGACATGTGTCTCTTATCCTGAAAGGGTTTTAGGACTATAGGTCAACCCCTCCTGCTGGAGAGGTTGTTTTTCTACAGGTAAGGTGATTGCTCTGTGTTGGAAGAGGCGTGTACCTGTTGCTTTAATTCTATCCATGTCTAGTTTATCAGGGTGTTTCCAAAACTTCACGGAAATTTTTCATTATCTTTTAATTTAATTTTTCAAGGAGCTTTTTGGAGCCCCATTGTATTTTTGGTTAATTCACAGTAGTTTATTGAATTATTTCATTGTCCCTCCCCCCCACCTACCTATTCACTCAAGATTATTAAAATTATTAAAAAAAATTTAAACACCGGAAACATTTGCATTTACTTTAACCTACTTTATATTAATTTCATTTTAAAAAGTGGCGGCTTTATCCTCTCTTCTATTCTGGGTAATTGTTTTTCTCTCTTTCTTTCTGGAATATAGTAGTGGAGTTTCCTAATAAAGTATGTATGCATACATGTGTGAGTCTATGTTTATGTGTTTGAATAATCCATTTTATCTTTAAATAGGTTCTTCTTCCTCAGATTAATGCATATATCACATCTTATGGTTTATTCATTTTTTGCATTGTGATTTTTTGGCTTAATTGACATTCCCCCAAAATGCTCCAAATTCCCTGCCATTGAGTCAGTTCTAAGTTATAACTACCCTATAGGATATGTTAAATAAGATAATTTTATGGTGTGCTTAGTGTATGAAATAAGTGGCATGGGTTACATTAAGATGATCATTAAGTAGGTAAAACTCTCACTCTTGTAATTTTTGTGTGTGTAATTTTGACAGAGAAGAAGAGCTATTTTGCCACAAACCCGCTATGTGGAGCTGTTCATTGTAGTCGACAAGGAAAAGGTAGGATTGGTAATGTATTTTCTTGTTTATGATAAGCAGATGAAAAGCAAGCATCTCACGAGAGAAATATAAAATGTAATATATTTATACTAACTTTTCTTAAGTGATCATTTCAAAACCAACATTTCTGTTCCCATTAGACTGCTCAGGATTTGTAATTCCACCTGTAGCTGAGTGTAGCAATGAGACCCTTTCTAATTTTACTAGTTTTTTGATATGCAGGATAGACATTTCTACAAAAATCAGATGAAAGATTGCTGAAATGTGGGCACGAGAGGAGACTAATCAGTGGCTGCTTAAAGGTCTGCCGTTTTCTTTCCTTCTTCTTTTTTGGAAACTTTTTATTGTGGTTTGGTTAAAAGTTGTTCAAGCAAGTTAATTTTTTATTCGATAACTTAATAAACATTTTGTTTTGTGACCGCAATCCCTACAATGTACTAATACTCTTTGCCCTTCCTCTCTGGCTTCCCTGTTTCTTCTTTCTTACTCCTTCCTGCCCTCTGAGCTTTGTTTCTGGACAAAGGCTACCCTTTTGGTCCCAGATGGTTGATTGTTCTGAGGAGTGTGGTATTATTGTTCACTTAGTGGTTTCATATTAGGCTGTGATTTGCAAATTTGGTAGTTTGAAACCAACAGCCACTCTGCAGGAGCATGACAGATAAACAGTCACAGTCTTAGAAACTCCAGGGGGATGTTCTATCATACCCCATAGGGTCACTGAGTTGGCATTGCCTCAGTGGCACTGAATCTGGTTTAGAGGTTTTCTCTTGTAAGCCTATTATTTGCCTGAAAGTTGATTTTCATAATTTAAAGGTGTCTAAGGAATTCCACCAATCGCTGTTAGACCGGCAGTTCTGGTATTTTTATGATTTTGAATTTAGTTTTACATTTTTCTCCCTCTCCTACATTGTCTAAGACCTTCAACTTAGTAATGGTTGCAAGCTGCGATCTAGTTGTCCTGGTCTTGGGCTTTGATTTGCATGATCCATTAGACTGGTGGCTGGCATCCTTATTTCTCTTCACTCTTCTTTGCTCTGGATGAGGAAAAACCAATGGTTATGGTTATGGTTAGGTGGCTACGCCCAAGATTTTAAGACCCCAGTCATTACTCACCGAAGTAGGATTGGAGATTGGCTTTGTTGACTTAGATTTCAAGTGAGCCTATGGTTCTTCTTTTTT